CTCTTACTACATAGCCATGTAGTTGCTAATGTTGGCAGAAAGACTGAGGTGGACATTTATGTTCCGAGAACATGGGAAGGGCAGAATTCTCTCTTTCATCATCAGCAAAACCAGCCAAAGCTGATGACAAACCTGCAGCTCAGTTACAGCTTTGTCTTAGGTTACTCTCTGAGCCATGCAGTTTCCTTGCTCTCCAAACTTGCCTTCCCCACAGATTTTGCAACAGAATTAGATTTGATTTGCAACCACCATTGCAGCAATAGCTGCCTTACTAGTACTAGCTTTGGACTTCATAAGCATCCTAAGCACCGTGATTGCCAGCTGGAAGTCCCTCTGGACACCATGCGATGAACCTTGATACCCTCTCCAGTTCCTTTTTCTGTAGAAAACCTCCTTATCTGACATGTGCCTTAGCATAGTTTCCAGGAGGATCTGCTCCCTGATTTTGCTGGGCACTGCGGTGAGACTGACCAGCCTGTAGTTCCCTGCATCTTCCTTTTCTCTCTTTTTAAAAATGGGTGTTATGTTTCCCCTTTTTCAGTCACAGGGAACTTCACCAGCCTGCCACGACTTCCCAAACACGATGGATAATGTCTTGGCAACTCTATCTGCCAGTTCCCTCAGGACCCACATCTCATCAGGTCCACCAGTGAATTCATGCTTACAGCATGGGCCATTCATTAACTTCTATGAAGATGTTACCAAATCCTCCTTTGGCCCCATAGCTTTGCTCTGGGAGTATGAGAGGGGGAAGACAGGTGGGAAGATGAGGCCTGCTTGTGATGCCAGTGTATCTGTAGGTGGTGTCATGAAGTAATAATTACTGGCAGCCCCTGGCAATGATGGCAACACCTGAATGACTTCAACCCATTTACAAAGAGAAAGATATCAAATAGTAAAGAAAAATATCCACAGGTCTTAGCATAAAGCTTCTCAGCATATTTGCTGTCATGTGATCTAGTCATGGGTGACAACCAACACAGTTTCTTCCTGATTAAATCCTTTCAAGGAAAAGCCTCTTTGTTAAGGACCCTGGTACTAAACTACACCCATGCTGAATTATTCCCCTAGTACATTGGCAAGAGTATTTCTAGCATTTCTTTTCATTTTGCAAAATGATTCTTTTAGAGAAGAAACAACTTTGTTCCTCATTTCATCAATACACCTATCAAAATTTCAATGCTGTGACCTGATTGTCCAATATGTAATAAAGGTCAGTGTATGATCAGTTAATACCCATTTAGCTGTTTGCACAATTGCTTGTGCCTTGCTCTATCGGTGACTTAGTAGGGGTGAGACACTTCTCCTTCCTGATAACAGCAGGGTCTGAAGGTTCAGGCATCCTCACTAATATCATTGACTATAAAAGAAAAATATTTTGTCTTCAAATATTCTATATACATATGCATATTACATAATATGCTACAGATTTAAACTCTTGATGGTGAAGTAAATCAGCATCTACAGTTACAGGCTCTTCCTATCCTACTTTTCTTGGATTCCTGCTATTTCCACACATGAGCACCCACACTTTTTTGGTCCCACATCTCACTTCCATTTTGTTTTGGTGAGCCCTTGTCACTGTCTAGTCTGCTGTACCTTCCTTGAGCTCTCCCTTTGACTATCCACCACCCTGTGCCCTTGGTTGTCCATAAACATTCCTAGCTTTCTGAGGTTTTCTTCATGCTTTTTAGGATCTATTTCTATCTTTTCTGTGATTCAGTCTCTGGCAACTTTTTACTTGGCTCACCTCAAGTACTGATGAATCCCAAAAGATTAAACAGCAGAGCTGTTAATGCAAGTCTTTTTCCGCAATTTCTGATCAATGGAATTTGTTTCAGTTGGTGCATAGAAATCACGTGCTTTTCAGCCAACAGTGCTAAGAGTTTTTCCCTAGCAGGTCTGGCAATTGTCCATAGGGTGTGATGTGTGATGATGGCATAAAATATTCTGGGATACCTGAATAATTACTTGGGAAACGCTGTCATGAAATCCCATGGTATGGGTTTATTCAGAAGAGCGATTCCTACTCCATAATAACACTCACTGCTTCCAGAAGGTATGCACAGTTTTGTATCCAGGCAAAAAAAAAATAACATCATTGCAGTTATTCAGTGTATCACTTGTTAATTTCCTGTCCTAGTGATAGGACACGTGGGAATGGTTTGAAGCTACACCAGGGAGGTTTAGACTGGGCATTAGGAAGCATTTCCTTACTGAGAAGGTGGTGAAACAGTGGAGCAGGCTCCCTAGAGAGGTGGTCAATGCCGCAGGCCTGTCAGTGTTTGAGAGCCATTTCTACAATCCCTTAACAACACGCTTTAACTTGGTCAGCCCTGAATTGGTCAAGTGGTTGGACTAGATGATCACTGTAGATCCCTTTCAACCAAAAGAGCCTGTCCTATTCTGTACTAGCACTGGGTTAGCAAAGTTAGTTCTGTGAAGCCCTCTTCTACCTTCAGCCCTGGAAACGGCAAATGTAATTTTGGTTGTGGTGGCTTTTATATCATTAACAACTGTTAATGTTACAAACGGGGCTATAACAAGGTGTCAGATTTTACAGTTGGCACAATTTGAGGTAGGAATAAATAAAGCATATTAGGTGCCTCATTATAAATTTCACCTTATGATCAAACACCTCCTATAATAGCAGATACCTCATGTGGAGAAGCAGTCTGCTGCACAACAGCATAGGTCAGGACTAGCCAACGTAGCCTGCTTTAAATTGTGCACTTCTCAAACGTAAGTGTGCCTCATCTTATTTCATAATAATTGCAACACCAAAGCACTAGCCTTAGCAACAGATTCCACTTTTGCCATTTGGAAGTGGCAGCTGCAAGCCCCAGGGCCAGCCCTCACTATGGAGCCTGGGCCTTCCTGTGGAAACTGCTGCAGTCAGAAGGGTTGATTTAGGGTTTCCCAGGAAAGCAGAAATCAGGAGTGAGTAAAAATGCAGACCTTGTGTGGGAAAGGATCAGTGCTTACTGACTGGGTAGGCCTACAGGCAGGCTTTCCTTTTAACATCACACATTTGTCAGTTTGCTAGAAAAGATGAAGACAAATGTGGAAGAATGAAGAATGATGTGAAAATCACAAAGCAGTCCAGCTTACGTGTCTCAAGTTAAGCATCGGAACCCATTCTGGCACCCAGGTTCCTTAGTTTTTGTCACTGCTTTTGAATATTTTTACTTTATTAGTCTTGTTACAGCTAACTAAAATAAATAAATAAATAAATAAATAGATAGATCCAATCATCCTAGTACTACAAATGTGGTTACAAATACACTGGCGTTTTAGCTTGTCTGGTAGCAACTGGTCACCAGGAGCTTAATACGGTAGCTAGTATAAAATCATGAAATATAACCAGTGTGTTGTTCATGCACCACTATATCTTCCGGCTTGTAGAAATTACAATTGGCCCACCAACCAAATGCAGTGCTTTATTCAAATCAAATAATGGTCTACAGCAGCATTTTCAGGCCCCTACAAAACTGTCCAGCAGAGGTGTGAGTGCTCCACTCCTTACAAAAGGCAGGCTTTTCTTGGATACTTTATCAGGCTTTTTCTTCAGTAAAGCTGTGGGTCACCATGTACTGAAATTGCTACAACTTCCATGGGCATGTTAACCTGTGCTTTTCAAACCAGTGGGATTGATGCAGTGCACCTTCCTCATTTTGCTGACAAATGCTGTATGTGTCACACCTAACATATAATGTTCCTGTTCCCCTTTTAGGATGCTGTGTACCTTAGTCCCTGCCTTTTTTCTGGGGTGTGGGCTCCTCCCCTTAAGCCCACAAAAGACATAAAAGCAGGCAGCTGTGCCACCTGGGTGCACATCTGCGCTTCTCTTGTGAAGCTGGCTTTGCTCCTTCTTGCTGTGTAGTGCTGAGGAGTAGATCCACCCTCAGGCTGTTGCTTCCTAACACTGCTGGTCTTCCCGGCTACTCAGGTATTTGCAGCTAAAGCAAACTGAATGGGGATGGAATAAATGTGTATGAGTAGAAAATGTGGAAAATTCTCAGTGACTGGTAGTGTATCTCTGAATAGTTGAAGGGCCTTGACTAAATGTGCTTCTTTATCAGGCTTTACATTTTTGTTTCACCTTTGGAATCAGTTTGATTTTTCTTCTCTTATTTGATTGTCAAAACATTGGCTTCAGAAATATTTGAGGGTTTGTGTCTTTTTGTGGGAAAACTGACTGTGTAAATGGAACTCACGGTACTGGAACTAAATCTACCAGAGGGATCATGTCTTCTGCAGCACTGGTTCCGCTATCCTTCAGCTATTTTAAATTGCTTTCCTAGTGGTTGTTGATACACTTTTTCCGACTTGTTCTCCTTAGAGTTTCTCTGAAGTGATTCTTAACAAAGTAAACAAACTTTCTAGTCTAGACGTATGTATATGTGAAAATCAAGAAATCGCCACGGCAGCATTACGGTAGATTTGCTTCTGTCTTGCTTGCATGATAGTTTTAAAATAGGCATGAATTGCTTGCTATTCTGATCTGGTTGCATTTCTAAAACTTTCTGTGCAGGTAAAAAAGACTGCATGTAGGCATATAGGTGTATTTTATGATCAATCAGCCCTTGCATATAGTGAGCATATGCTACCAATTGTAGGGTATCATCTCAATGCTTATATCCACAAATCTAAGCAAGAATGGAGGACAAGAAAATCTGGAAAGAAGATTCAGATAGTAAAGGCAGTATCTGGTGCTAGAGACAATGCAGTTGGCATGTTCAACGCTATTTTTCCTTCTCAGCAAGAAGGAAGATGTTATAAATCTTGCTTCTGCTGTTACTTCTGTTAGTCAGTGAAAATACTAAAGCTGCTGTGGTAAAGCTGAATGTGGCTCTAGTTACTTCACCATCTCAAAAAGAATGTAACTGATAGTTGATGTACCACAAGTAGTTTTGATGACAAAAAATATTGCAGCCCACTGTTTCAAATTAGACTTCATTTGCTCTACCTGAAAAGTCTTGTTCTAGAATGATGTATTGTTTTCTTTGGTTTTTTTTTAAGGAATGGAGAAGGTGGTTGCTTGTCCATACAAAAGGCCAGATGCTCTCTATAGGCTGATATGCTTTCCATGGGCTGGAAGTGGAGCTTCTCATTTTTCTCAGTGGGGCAGACTCTTCAGCAGTTCAATTGAAGGTTAGTCATTTGTGCAGGTAAAGCAGAAGTTAAGCATGTCTGAAATACATGGTAGCAAATTTTTTTGAATGGACTATGATGTTCTTGATAGCACTGCAATGTTTATCCAGTGGATCTAACCCAGAAAGGAATTCCATTAGGAGTTGGCATTTCCATTAGGGTGCTGTTAAATTTCTGTGCCACCTTGGATCAAATTATAGGTTAAAAAGTTGTATCCTCACAGCTAAATTTCACAAGACTACAGTATGCTTGACTCCTTCAGGAACTATTGGTGTGATTCAGAAACAGCAGTACACTGTCACATTGTTAATATGTTAAAAAAAGGCATCAGCAAAGTCACCAATGAAGATATGAGAACCTAGTTTTAATGTTGAGAGACTGAACAGAAGTTCTTTTATCCAGAGTGTTTGCATGGTTTTACACTTCTTGTATCAAAACTGAAGTTTAAACTGTCAATATGACATTGAGACCATTGCCAAGGCCTCTAAATGCTTGTATGCTGTGTGCTTTCTGGAAGCAGTTGCACAAGTCACATCAGATTTGCATGGATTTTTTATTTTTTATTTTTTTAAGGGAAGAAAAAGCTTTTTTTCACTGGAACTACTTCCAAAGAAGTTACTAAGGAGATGGCCCAGAAACAAATGTAGACATGGATGAATAAAATCAGGGTGCAGCATGCTCTTTCAGAGATGTTTTGTGCAGAAAGGAAGTAAGATGCAGACATTTCTGTCTACGGTATTAGATAGCGGTTTATTCTTTCTCTGCCAAAATACTTTGCATCTGACCCATTACATCCATGTGAGTTTGGCAGTATGAAGAAGATTTTAGAAAACCAACTTTCTTTCCCTCATCTATTCATTGCTTACACTGCAGATTTCTGACCCAAGGCATTTATCAATCAGAACAGTTAGGCAACATTTGGGGGTAAAGGAAGGGGTGTAAACCTAATCTCTTCACAAGATTAAAAAACAGTAATAGAATAGCAAATACACTGTACCAGCTTTAAGAAGGCTTAATCTAAATAATCAATATGTTCTGCAAAATAGATTTAAAAGCTTAATTAAAATTATTGTACTATTTCTACCTGAAATAACTATAATTCTTTTCCCTCCCTTCCTCCACCTCTTCTGCAGTGTCCTGTGTAAACCTTCCTGGAAGAGAATCTCGTGAGGGAGAGCCTTTTGCAAAAGACATGGCACATGTAGTTAACGAAATTATAAGTGTTTTGTTAAAAGAACTGCAAGAAAAGCCATTTGCATTTTTTGGTCACAGGTAAAAATACATACATTTGTAGATACTCTGGTGAAGGAACTTTATCTTTGAACTCTAGGAATAGATAGTTACTTGCCTTTATTTGCAGAAACTTTAGGAAAGTACACTTCTGCAAGAGCTTTTTGTGAAGTCATCCTAAAACATGCTGTTGGTGTCAAAGGCTCTATTACTTCAGGCACAACATCTTCTAAAAACGGCAGTGTTGTGTTTCTTTTTCTTTTCTACACTGACAAATTATAATTGTTCTTACTGTTAATATTTGTGTCAGTGCTCGCTCTAAAATGTAGGGGGGTAAACCATACACAGAACACATAGATTTTGAAGATCACTCTGTCACAAGAATTCAAAATAACTGATCTTACTCCAAATTAAGGACAATACTAAAAGAGAGACTAAAAAAAGGTCCGATTTGTAAAAGTAGACTGCATAAGAATACACTTCATGTCAATTAGCTAATATGACTATAATTTACATGTCATATAGTTTCAGTAGCTGTTCAAGATAGCCAGTTAACACTGCAAGTCAAATGATGTTTAAATTTTATGGGGTTTACATATGTTTTTGCTTATTTTGCTTTAATTTCTCTTTGCTGCAGTTTTGGATCGTATGTTAGTCTTGCAGTTGCACTACTCTTGAAAGAAAAGTATGGACTAGAACCAACCCATCTTTTTTTATCAGGGGCACCCACCCTAACCGTAAGTTTCAGAATCATTACCAGTATGAAACAAAACAGTGAGTTAGCTACGAAGAGTAAAAATAACATTTTAGAGTATGGGATGTAGAGTGGCTTTAACAGAAAACAATATTTGCTTCTGAATCTATGCAGAAAAAAACATTGTTTTATTAAAGGAAATGAATTCTGAGGCAAAGAATTTCACATTACAGAGTATTCACTGCTGCTAACCTCAGCCTGGGGAGAACAGTCTCCTTAAACTATTGCCACGTTTCTGAATACTGTATTATTTACTAATGGCCTCTGGTTTAATACTGAAAAGTAATCAAAACAAAACATGAAGTGCCACTCCCTACTCTGTAACATGTGAAATAGCTGTCTTAACCTAATCTTTTGTAAAGCTCCAGCACCAACCCTCAGTGCATTTGTCTGTTTCTTTCTCTTCACCTTCTTTGTTGGCTTTTTAACCTGTCCTCAGTTTCTGCTGAAGTTCTGGTGGGTCTGCTTGTCTTTTCAGGAAAACAACAGTAAAGTGGCTTTTTCCTCGTCTTCCCATCCTCAGACAGCATTTGCTATCTCCATTCTTCTGTTTCTGGGGCTTATGAGCAATCCTGAGTATGAGCTAGTACTTCATGGAAGCAACTGTTATTCCTACAAATTTCCATAATCAGTTGGACTCTAGTTCTACATCAGTCAGATTTGTGTCCACTGCTAGGCTTTTCTTTCTCTTAAATAGATTATTAGTTATATTTCAATTGTGAGAATCAAACTTCAAACAAAATTAATTTAATGGTTACTTGTTTGTGTGAAAGTTTCAGACCTTGAGGGTACTTGGCTCACTCATAATCTGCATTTTCAGCAAACACAGCCTACTAAGCTTTTCCAAGAAGTGATTTCTGTGGATGTTAAACTAATCAGCCGTTCATTGTATTTTGGAGACACAGAATCATTGTACTTTTTACTGAAACAATTCTTAATTAAAGTATTATTTAAAGTATGTTATATACAACACTTGATCTGTTTTGTTTGGCTGACAGTCTGAAGCATTTTTTTGCCTCAAAACTGCACATGGTAAAAAAGATGAAGACATTCTTGCACATGTAGAAACTTCAGGAGGAACTTCTTCTGAGTTTCTGCAAAATAAAGACAGTAAGAAACATCTGATAAATATTCTCAGAGAAGACTCTAGAGTACTTCACACATGGTCGTAAGTTTTACAATTTTGTATTACATTTATACTTGTATTTTACAGTTTTATTTCTGTCTGATTCAGGTTTTCATTTTTCTCTGTGATTTGTTCTTGTTTCTGTTACAAAAAAAAAGAGTATGAAACACTAGTTTTCTCCTTTGTGTGCTTCTAGTAGTTAAGCCCTAGATGAAAACACTGCTTATTGTAGCAACCACCACTGTTATTAACAGAAGTGAACATGTCATGGTAGAATTACACTTCTACATAGGATCTAAAGGAATATTCTCACATCTTTTTTTGTTTTCTGAGGCTAAAAAACTCAACTGGTGGTGCCTCAGGATCACTGCATTTAGCATCCTGATTCTGCCCTAACTGGTGTTCCAAGTGGATGTTACACAACAGCTCATGTAGCTGAGTGGTTAAAGTTTCTTACCTTGGCGAAGACAAGGACACTTATGGATGTGGACCCATTTTAGCCATAGGAACCTAATGCTTAATAATGCCCTGAAACATTAGAACTTGAATACAAGCAGACAACATATTGTTTATTGTAGGTGAGAATTTTTATTGCAGATTGAAGCTCCTTTTTTTCCTATTGGGTCATTCTTTCATTAAAGTTTTAGTAATTGCAGTAGGGTAAGGACCTAAGAATCTTAGAGACACAGTAATTCCTTCCGTTGGTGTTCTGCACAGTCTAATTCCTGAAGTTTCTCATGTTTTGGAGGAGAAAGAAAATGCTAATTTGTATGTGGAAGAAACCTATATTTGGGGTTATCTGATGGAAAGTTTTATTACTGCTTTTCATACGGCTTTATGTTCACAGTTTTGAGATGGTAGATGGGAATGTCCCCTTCTCTTGTGATATTACCTGCTTTAATGGATCTGAAGATCAGCAAACACTTGATTTAGAAGGTACTTTGCTTATACTTACACATCTGCGTGTTGTATCAAATCAGTTAATGAAGAGCTTTTCTAGAGTCTTTAAATCAACAAAGCAGTCTCAATGTATGAACCAAACCAGTTGATATGGGATTTAAAATAATTATTAAATAGTAATTTTGAAATTGTTACATAGAATGACTCCAATCGTTAACATTTCTTTGACATTTCTCATTTAAATATCTTTTTCAGCCTGGCGTGATCTAACAAGTGGAGAGACTTCCTTCTACAAACTTCCTGGAGGTCACTTTTATCTGCTGGAGCCCTCTAATGAAATTTTCTTGGTAAAACTTATAACAACATGTATAGAACATGCTGGCCTATGAGTATTTCCCTCTATTTTAATGGCAGACAATGTAAGATTAGCCCACAGCAGCTCAAAATAAGTCATTCTTTCTGTACAATTGTATGCAGTTATGCCTGAGAGTTGTTTTGTTCCTCCTGTGTAATCCTTTAGAAGAGGGAGTTTTTTGATTTGCTGAAAATAAACATTGGCTTTGGGGCTTAAAAATAAAACAGTTTCCCTCTTTATTTTTCCCTCTTCTCATCTTGCATGTGCACAAATCCTTCATTTCATTCCGTAACCTCATTTCCAAGAAATGACAGCTACGTTATTTTACTTTTAGAGCTTCTCTGTAAATACGCTTAATGTAATTTAATACCCACAAAAAATCACAATTCTTACAGGAAGCTTAATTTATTAGGTTTATTTAGAATAAGATACAATCTAAAATATAGAGTGGGTATGCAAATACCCTTTACAGTCAACCAGCTTATGATTAAAAGATTTTACTGTTAGAGTACACAATAAGCAGTTAAGGAGTTAGTGTTGCATTTTTCTCAACAGCATTAGTTCATTAGCTACTGAAGGGTTAGTTGTTAGTGGGAATTATTTTGTTTATTCTAGATCCCGTATTTTTCTACCATTTCTTTTACTTTAGAAATATAGGCTTTCATGGCATCCTCCTTTGATAAACCTGCAAAGGAAAGCAGAGTCATTATCCTTCCATATTTGTCATCCTATAAACATGACTAGATGATGTAAATTTAATTGATGTAACACCTTCTTTCAGGTTCCATGCCTCCCACTTGGCTTTGGCTTTCAAATCTAGCATTCCTGGACATTCTGCCAAAATAAATGTATACCTTTAATTATCATGTAGATTTACATAACATTTGCTTTATTTCATCAAGATATGGGAGTAAATGTGAAGTATATATAGGAATAGGAGTACCAATATTAATATCTCCAACAGTAGCTTGTTTGTATAATCCATATATCTCCTTCAGTTCTTCATCAGTTGGCCTTGTTTTTATTTTTTTTACATCTTCTGCAGCAGCATTAAAGTCAGCCTGATGGAAGAAAAGAAAGATTTCCTCTCAAGCAGTGTCTTTAAAACATTAAGGATAACACACACAGTAGTATCATTAGACACTCACCAATTACTCACTTGGGTTTAGTGGTAAATCTAGGCATTTTCCCATGAAAGATTAATAAAACCATAAGTTATTAGAAAGGTAACCAAGCCTACTTAGCTGATGGGGTCAGCACCGCTAAAACAAGTAAACCTATTTTTTCCAACAGCTTTACGTCTAAACATTTGGAACCATTACTGCCTGTCTAGTGTCAAGGTATCTACAAACACACTCATGCAAGCAGTCTATACAATCAACACAGTGTAAATGCCTTTCACAGTCACACTAGGGGTATGAAGACGTTCACTGAACTTTACACCCCAGCAGTGATCTCTAAATCCTTCTGGCCCTGACTGCATAGTGCTGACTTGAGCAGCAGAGCTCAAATACCCTCTGGGGGTTACTTCCTACTTCATTTCCACTTCTCTGCTGACAGTGAAGTAGGCAACCAACAGTTGGCACAGACGTGCCTGCTATTGCCAGCACCACCTTCAACACCCAACTCAAAACACAGGGGAAAACATTAAATTTACCCCATTCATCATCATGCAACCCACACTCATATCAACCCAAAGCTATAGTAGCCATTATTCTCTCTACATACTAGAATCATAGAACCATAGGATGATTTGGGTTGGAAGGGACCTTAAAGATCATCTAGTTCTAACCTCCCTGACACGGGCAGGGACACCTTCCACTAGACCAGGTTGCTTAAAGCCCCATCCAACCGGGCCTTGAACACTGCCAGGGATGGGGCAGCCACAGCTTCTCTGGGGAACCGGAGTGGATGCCAGTGTGTCACCACTCTCATAGTGAAGGTTTTCCTAGTATCTAATTTAAAAACTATGAAAACTATTTTAATTGAAGTAACTGGATTTAGTCAGCTTGTATCAGAATTGAAAATGGATTATATGGATAACAAAAGCTCTTTCTCTTCTTTGCTCTGGATAAAGAAAATGTAAATATTTTCTTCTACAAAGTTTAATGTCAGAAATACAAAACCTCATTATTTGTTTTCCTGAAGGCTACAGACAGGAGTGCAAGCTTCCTCATCTCAGTTGAAAGAGAAATTGTAAAACATTTCATAAAGTGTCTTCTACCTCAATTCATCCAAGAGTTTAAATAACATTTGTGGGGCTTGTTTCTCTCCATTTTAAACACAAACTAAAATCTTCACTCCTGAGTTGCAGCTATGTGAGCAGAACCTGTTCTTTGCATTGAAGTAAAATTCAGCATTTCTGACAGCTGCAGGCCCCAAAGCCAGTCCTACCTTTCTGCTCTTGTTTGCAGAACTCAAGCACTCTTGGCTGGGTCTCCCAAATACTTTAATGATACAAACAGTAATAGTTGCCTGATGTTCCCCTTAGAAACATGACAAAGTACAAAATTCCATAGATGGTACCATATAAATAGTCATACTCGTATAAGTATATAAATCTTGGAAAGTCTATGGGGGGTCCCATTTAAAAAGTAGCCATATTAGCAGCTTAGTTATTAAAATTAAATAATAATAAAAACAAACATTTTCCCCAAACACTTCAAGTTGTTTCCAGCTAACTAAGCTCAAGGACTTCCTCAAAATACAACAGTATTTTGCATAGATGTATAGCATTTATTATGCAGAAGCACTCAACAAGGAGAAACAAAATCAGCGATGCAACTAACATCATTGAATTAACAATGTCTGAAGGAAACTGGAACTGTACATCTCTCACAGTCCTAAAAGCAAAGCATTTATACTCACTCTGTTGATATAGATGTATAAAAGGGATGTACATTTGCTTACCAAAAGAAATGTGATGGCCCACCACTCTTGAGGTTTCTTTTATAGGTAGAATTTATTAAAATAAGTATTTAATTCTAAATCCAAACACCACGATTGTGACATTCTTGACTATACCTATCACAGACTTCTACATCACAGACATCCCTTAATACTATCCATACACGTACAAACAAAAGCAGCATTCATGCTCTGTTAACAGCAAGATTAAGAAGTGCTATCAGTAATAAAACACAATTGAGTTGCCACAATTGATTAAAGTTTAAATAAGTTCTATCTACCTTCACCTAAAGGTGGTGAAGGTAGCCACTGCTGTGGCCACAGCTGCATGTGGCCACTGTAGCCGCTGCTGCATGTGGGCCTCTGCCAGCACTGACGTACAAGGACCATTCAAGTCAGTGGAAAGCTTCCACATGCCTTGAATTGTTTTCTGATCTAAACTTCACAGTAAGAATGGACTAGAAGCTTTGTTGGACTTGTACAAGACAAAAATTAACTCAAAAAAAAAAAAAAAGCAAGGAAACCAGTAATTTTATAAGCTTCTTATTGTCATACACTTATATCCTATCTGGATCTGTTGGCAAGTATCACAAGATACTGTTTTAAAAAGATGCAAATGCATATCATACACAGCAAGAAATATGCAGGAATAAAATGTAAACACTTGTTTCTCCATCTCCCTCCAGCTAATCATTGTGCACACACTGTTGCTCAGGATTTGCTTGCTTATACAATATATTCAGGAGCATCCTGTCAAAATATAATTTCCTTTTAATTGCATGCCAATAAAATTCCCTTTTAACTCCTCAAATCAAAATCAAAAGTATATATACAGATATAACATACACACATGCATTAACGGTAAATGCACAAATCATCAGATTATTATCACAGACTCCATTTGTGCAAAGAAAAAAGCTTGAATGAATTAATTTACAACAGAGTATTTTACCAGCTTGCAAAACTTATAAATCTTTTAGAGCCTCCTTCATGGAAACATTGTTTTATTAATTTTGTCTTCACTCCCGTACAGTTTGATTCAATGAATATTTATGGATATGGATGGTAGCTGTCAACCAAAGCCACAGTGGATAGAAAACCCCCATAATATCTAATGCAGAATGTGTAACATGTCGTAGTATTCAAGCACTGATTTTTATGTGAAAGTGTAACTGTACACAGCAATGGAATGGCTTATCATACTGCACTCAGCTCTTTCCAATGTGATTTATGGCTCATTGCATAATTGTCAAGCTAATAAATTTATTCTCTAGAGTGAATCCAAGGCAGAATAAAATAAACTAATTTCAATGATCACTAATTTAAAAAAGTGTTTAATTTGGTGTTATGTTTGGGATTTGACAATTCTGACCCAAGTGTAAGATTCTTCTCCTTCACTGTAAAACGCCACAATGAATCCTCTGTGCCATTCAGTGTAACTGGAGCTCAGACGAAAATTGCTGAGCTACTGGCAATACTCTCCCTGCATCTAGGTCAGAGCATTATGTTGCTCACTCTTTGCAAAACATGCACACTAACCAAGCTGCGAGGGACATTATAATGAGACTGGGATAAAGGCACTTGCAAATCTTGAAGTGAAAGGAATAATAGAAAGCCTAGTGAAGAAAAACAGTCTAATCCATCAGGGCATGAGCAGGACAAGGGAAGTATTCATCGTCTGGTACAAAGGTAGGAGGCTAAAAGCCAGCAATGGAGATGATTTCCTCAAGAACTATTTAACTCTATAGTCAGAGACAAGGTAGGAGGAAGCTGTCTCTAGCCAAGAAGGAAGAAAGTAGCAACTTTCCTAACAAAACACAAGCCCATCAAAATGCACCACTCCAAACATGCACACACTCTAAAAATATATGCACAACTCCCTTAAAAATTACTCACACTTTCCAAATGCACACATACAGTGTTATAAGCTTCCCTCCTCCTTTTATAGCTAGATCCTAAATAAATAAATATGTAACTATCTTTTAGTGCATAATGCACTCCTAACAGCTGCACACACAAACAATTCATGCACTCTCTAAACAGGTAAAGCTCCAAAAATTACATGACTTCTGTGAGTGCAAAATAAGCAGTATGTCTCTCATTCTTCACTTGCAAGAAGTAATGCACTATTTAACTTCCAAAGGCTTAGGTAAATTTCTTGCGCTGCAAGGTAACCTTGAGTTTGCAGTAATAATCCTTACGCTGGAGAAACACCGCTGATCTCCCACACGGCACTGCACATATAGACAGCACATCCCCCTCCCTCTCCTCTCCTTGTGCCTCTTCCCCACCAAAAGCAGAATTGCTTACCTCGAGGGTCATGATGCTGTGAGGATACCCAGGGAACAGCCTCCCTCCTTCTCCAGTGGGGATGCAGTGCTTCTGCCTCGAGTCCTGTGGCGTGAGTGCGGTGGGGGGGGGCAAGCTCCAAGGAGGGCGTTGGGCTGGGTACCAGTGACCTCAGCTTGCCAGCCACGGCACAGCCACGCTGGGGCAGGACACGGGGGCTTGCTCACACTGCAGGGACAGCTGAGTGGCGACAAGCGCCAGGGAAGGGTTGGTGGGAGCATGGAGCGTTAAGCACACAATAGCTTCTTCAGAGAGCTTGAGCTTGCTTCCGCACCGCTGAGGATTAGGCTGCCCTCCTAAGAGCCGAGATACAGCAAGACTCCCAAGCCCTCTGTTTGAAAAAGGCATTCCTTGAGTGAGTTAAACCACAACCAGCCCAGCTATTGCCACTGCTCCTCTGCCACAGCCCCTGCCTGGGACCTTGCATCCCCCAGCTGCAGCTCTGAAAAATACGGGGGTCATCTGGAGAACACCACATGCCAGCAGTCACACGCACACACAATACCTCGAGAATGCTGGCTTTATTTTGCCCTGATAAATACAGGGTTTAAAAAATGAGTATTAACTGATAAACTAACCTACACGATAACCACTAATGGAAAAAAATCCACCCCCCCATCTGCCAACTCATAAATTACTCATATTCATGCCTCTGTACACTTATAATTCCTTAAACAGGTTTAATCTACATGTATCTGTATAGTATTAAGCTATACTATTTTAGCGTTTTAACCCCTATAAACCCAGATAAAACCACAGAAACTGAGTGTGCTTGTACAGATTTGTCGCTGGCTCTCGGCAGGCTGTGGGAAACCCTGAGCATAGCTGCTTCTTACCTGTCACCTTACCGTGACAGAATACGATGTATACATGCAGTAGGGCACACACTGAAAAGCAGTGACAGACCTCCCTGTATCTGTGAAGTCCCTATGGAGTGCCTTTTGTCTTGGCCATTATTAGATGATGTACGACAAATCAGATCTATTACCCCCTATAAAGCAATTTACGGCAGCACTCAGAACGAGGAAATACCGAGAGCAGGCGTCTATCATCGGCGCTCAGAGGCCAATGCGCTGTTTGTCTACCCGGTACTGGCTACTGCCCGCCTGCAGCCGAGCCCCAGTACCTTCGCTCTCCGTCCGTCAGATCTACCCTAACCCTACCACCCCTTCCCGCCCTGCGCAGCCCCTTCTCCGCCCTCTCCCAGCACCGGCCCCAGAGCGGGAGGCGGGCAGCAGCAGCGGCACAGCCCACCATGCCAGCGCAGAGGCGGGCCGAGGGGCGGAGCCCGGCCGCTCTGGGTGCCGACGTGATGCAAGAGCCGCCGTGTGCCTGGGGAGCATGCGGGTGGTGGAGGTAGGGCTTACTTCGCTGATGGAGGCTGGAGGGGGACGGCTGAGGGCCGGGCTCTGGGACGGGTACGGGAGGGCGGCACGCTCCTGGGGTGGCGGCACTTTGGTCCTGGTTCGGCCTGCAGCTGATCCGCGGGCAGGCTGGGCCCAGCGACTAGGGGAGGCGGGTGGAGGCCCTGCCTCGGGCCGGCTTGGTGCGTTTGCAGCGCGATCTGCTGGTGCCGCGTCGTACCCGCGTTCCCGGAGCGGGTGCGCAGGTCTGTGGAGAGCGGTGGCTGCTGGCGGACGTTTCTCCCGTGCGCAGGAAGCAGGGGCCGGGCCGGTGGTGCGAGGTGCAGGAGTTCGGAGTGCTTTATTTCCTCGTTGCTTTATTTCCTGTTCTTGCACGCTTGTTTTCCTCAGTAGTGCCCATTTTGAAAAGGAAAAGTTAAACTGAAAAATCTCTCACCTCTTGCTCCTTTCTCAGGTATAAGTGACTGTCTTGGCTTGATAACCCTTGCAAAAGACTATCAGAGCATCCCTAATTGAAAGCTGTTAAAAACGATAACCCTCAGCTCTTTTTCTTTTTAACCTATCGTAAGCTTCCATTTCCAGTTCAGTCACATACAAGATTTCTAGTGGTCATTTCCAGTCTACAGCTGTTACTGAGTTTTGCTTGTTGCAACTGTGATGGTAAAGCAAAGGGGATCGGATAACTTAGTGGATGATAGCTCCATTAAGGACTAATGAAATAGGTTGGCAGATCTTCCATCCCTAATGGAGCCATTCTGGGTGGCTGGGAACAGAGGGAAATGGCAGCCCTGCCCTCCCCAGACAGTTTCTCCAGTTCCCAGTGTTGAAGGCAAAGGGCTGGGATGAATAGACCATCGTCTGGATGCCCTGCAGGGCACTGCACAGGTTCTGAGAGTACTGAGAGGGCACAGTGCTTTGCTGCATTTTGAAATGCCTAATCAGTTTCACTGTTCTCTGAAAACCACTCCTGTGTTTCTGACTCATGGATGACACCATCACAGTTTGCACTGCATTGATAAAACTCTTGTTTGTAAGCTTGGCTGTGCAATAATGAAGGTATCACTGATTCAGCAAGGAGATGGTGAATGGTAATCCAAGGAGGAGTGTGGGGCCTTGGTGAGTTACTAGGGGCTGTAGTCAGGCCTGCCTTCCTGCTCACTGTTACTCAGGACTAGATCAGTCAAGAGCTGTAACAGTTACGCTTTCCCTACATCCATTTCATTGAACCTAAAGGCATGGTCTAGGTCACACAAGAGTAAAAGACACATGAACTTTCTGGAAGCCCATAAAGGATTCCCTTCCTCCACGGAAAGCACAAGTTTATTAATAAGAGTCTGCAGGTTTCTGTCATACCTTCTAAATGCAGACATTAGACATGGATAGACAATGCAAACACAAGACATGGATTATGGAATGAAAAGGCAAAATTTTAAAAATCCTCAATAAAGTCAGGAAGTTGGAGTTTGTTTCACATTGTGATTCTGCTTTTTTTCTTCCCTTCACAGCTAGGGTGGCAAAACACAAAAGAGGCTCAGGATGTCTGTAATTCAGCAAGGGACAGCAACAGTTTGCAAAGCAAAGAAAGCCGCTGTAAAAACATGTCTAGATAACCCCTTTGTTTTAGAGTGGAAAACCATCGATGGAGAGGATATGCATTTTATACTACAGACCTTAGAAGAAAGGATTAAACATACTGGGCTTAAAAAGATTGAGACTCCAAGAGTGAAAAAACGTTCCCTTACAAAAAAACAAATGGAAAGAAAGCATGATGCTAGCACCAGCGAACTCCCTAAGGAAGAGAACGTAGAAGGCCATCAACAAAAAACGGGGTGGACTGACACAAGTATCAGAAGACAGCTTGCTATTGGAGTTAATGAAGTTACAAAAGCATTGGAAAAAGATGAACTTCTTCTCTTGCTGGTATGCAAGTCTGCAAAGCCTGCTATGATCACATCGCACCTCATTCAGCTGAGCGCAAGTCGAGCCACGCCAGCAGGGCAGGTTCCCCGTCTTAGCGAAACTATTGCACCGCTTCTCGGCTTAACATCCATTCTAGCACTAGGCTTTAAGAAGCAGTCTGATAAATTTACAGAAGCAATAGCAGCAATAATTCCCAAGATACCAGCCTTGGAAGTGCCATGGTTTCAGCACAGAACTGAAGAATCTGTGGATTTTGCTCATGAAGGTTCTTCAGAAAATGAGGAACCTGAGCAGCTTGCAGAGGTGCTGGGGGATGAGTTCGTGAGCCTGAAGCGGAAGCGTATGGAAAGCAATCTTTCAGATGTGATTTTGCAGCCTATGAAAATCAAGAAACTTGTTCCAAATCCAAATAAGATTAAAAAACCACCTCGCAAAAAGAAGAAAGCTTTTTCAGCATAACTGATTTTTTAAATGCAATATGGAGTACAGCTGTAACTGAACTATCTTGTTAGGCTTTAGGGTGTAAAGCACTTGAATACAAGGTGGGCTTGTTGTTGCATTCAGTTGAGGTACTTTCTGTTTTAATAAAGAATGTTGCTCAAACTTGGGTGCAAGTCTTTACCTGGGAGCAAATATTTCATTTGCACAGAGTTAAAATTGATAATGAATATTCTGATGTAATTTAAGAAATCATAAGTCCATCTTTGGAATTAATGCAAAGCAGTAAACAAATTTTGTATTTTTATACAGATGAACATGCTTCAAGCAAAACAGATTTAAATATAATTATTCAAACAAGTCAATACCAAAAGTGAAAGTTTATTTAAACAAAGGTCCATGCCAGTATAACTTTTAAAGCTGGTTCAATGCTTGTTTCAAGTAAACAGCACAGTTGGACTTCCCTTTGGAACTGTCATAGTTTCCTGAACTATAACCTTGTTCTGGTGAAGAACATAGGCAGACGTGACTTCCATAATACCTGGTGTTTCATATGCTGAAGGAACAATATTTTCAAATACAGAACAAACCCCAGTTACTACTGCTGCATTTTGAAAGATGAATTCCTTATGCAAGCTGTTAACACACACCCTGTGAGAAAATGTAAGCTAACCTAAACTCCATTTGATTTCTAAATGGTGTCTATTAATTTCCCAGGAAATTAGGTAAGTCATACACTGTTGGGTATAAAGTAGGTGACAGCTGTAACTGCTACAAGACTGAACGCATTCCACGTATCTTTTGAGTGTTCTTTAGTTTTACTAGAGACTACAAATAGTTTCCTAATGAGATATTTGTGTTGTAGGAAGGAGGGGGAATAGTGCTGCAATTCAGACAATCAGACAGCCGAGGAACTTACTTGGCACTCTGCAGTTTAAGCAAACATCAGTATGGTATTGTAGAAGAAACACAAAATACTTTGAGTTACTTTGTATTCTTAAAAATGGAATTTACATGTTGTATGTTTCAGAAATTTGCTAATCCAAATACCCAGTACCATCAGATACCTAATCTGTATTTTGGGGTTTTTTCACGTGACTTTAGTTCATGACCAACTACAAATGGAGGCAGTAGCAATGATTCTGTAATCGTGATGCTCCCTTAAGTTTAAACAAAAGTAAGATACTTAATGCCAAAATTTCCGTCCTCCTTGGCTGAGGGTGGCAAGAAAAGATGAGGGGGTTTTTGCCTGGCTGTGTAGTCCTTCATACATAGCCTTTGTTCTGGCTTTTTGTATGCAAAAAAACTTGAAGGCATACTAGCACTAGTGTACTTAGCCATGCTAGTTAACTAATGTTTCCAAGACAGGGAAGTTTACCGTTCAGATTCAGAAACAAAGGGCACTGTTCTCCCAGAATACAGTACAAGGGTGGCCACATGCCTTCCTTCATGTGCAGTTACCACAAGACTAGGGCAGAAAGCCAGGATCAAGTCTTTTACCTGGACATATTTGGGCCCATCATAGCCTCAATGCTTCTCCAAACAACAGTGCTGGGGAGGATTTCCCTTCTGATTTCAGAGAAAAGGTCTGGCTATCCCTTCTTCCACTTGCATTTCCATGAAGGGAAGGGAAGGCAGAGAACAGTGCGCATATATTTCACCTGGCATTCAAGATCACCCCTCCAGGTAAGGGAATGTCTGGCCACAACCATTTCTTAGCAACTCAGTACCCTAGTCATGAAGACAGAGCTATGCCCTGCTATCCCACCTCATGTTGAACAGCACCCAAGTGAGCTCTGCCTTCAAAGCTGAAGCAGAACGCACTGAGCCCCTTGGTGCACCTTCCTCCTCATCCCAGCAGGCTCCAATGCCAGTGTCCAGCCAGGAAGGCACCTTATTGCCTTTTGGGAATTAAGAACTAAGTCTTTGATGGAGTTGAGATTAAATCCTTCTTAAAACCTCAGATATCATTACCATCAGTTGCAGTTTCAGGCACTTAATTCTGCTCAGGCCTCACACAGGGAGTCAAAGCTCCCGCTGCACCATCTGTTAAGAATGCTACTAGCAGACAGCTATCAGAGGGCCAAAGCTGTAGAGCCCAGCTGCACCATTAGATGCCTGAAAGATCTCCTCTGAAGCCCTTTTGAATTAACGAGGTCCTGAGCTGATGCACACCCAGGGGTCAGACAAACCATGTTCCACCCCTTCCTTTGTTTGAAGGAAGTCAAATGCTTTAATCGTAGAGCATAAGGGAAAGTATTTATCACTGTCTCTAGGCAATTCCACAAGAAAAAGAAACCAAACCACAAACCATTCACACATTGGAGAAGGAGTGGGAAGAAAGAAACACCCCACTGCTATAAGGAGGTGGGTAGGGCTAGCAGTTGTTAAGAACAGACAAAATTTATCTTCGTCCAAGTTGATGTTTTCAGGTACAGAATTCAACTTCCAGCAAAATCTGCTTTCAGAATTACAGGCATGTTTAAAAGGAAAGTTTAGACATCTGCATTTCATGAGATATTCATGTCACATTCAAAAGATGCTTACAGCATGGAGGCTTCACTACCACAATTTGGCACTTTTCAGCTAGAACAGTTTCTTACTGCAGACTTCCTCAGTGCTCACGTTACTGCAGCATGCGTGAGCTGAAAGAACTGCGACCATACCTAGCTATGACACTATGCTGGAATGCATATAAAGTGCTTCAGAAGCCACTCTGGTTGCTAAGCATTCATGAGGGAATTAACAGCTCCCCCCAGCAACAAAGATCAGCCCTTCTACATTTCAGGAAGTGCAGTATAAAGACTTCCAAGGACTGAGTGTAGAGCGTTTCTCTTCTGCTTACCAGCCACATGTATAGCAAAACTTCTTGTTCCAAAGTCAGGATAAAAACACTACCAGGAACAATTTCTGAATACATATTTACAAGATAATTTTCATTAGAATTACAGACTTCATAGGAAATCAAAGTAGACAAAGGAATATGTGCAATTTCGCAGAAGCGTTGAAAACATTCAAACTACAAATATCCTGATAGCACTACTAAAATTCTTAGTTTTACACACAGGCTGATGTTATTCTACTGAGGAAAAACTAAGGTTTTGTGCCACAACTGTAAATTAAGTACAGTAATGTATTATCATTCCGGCAACATAGATAACACCTGCACTGAACAGTGCGATACTGTTAAATCAATCCACTGATCTATCGAAGATCAAAGTACAAATCTATTTTTATTGATTTGGCAGCGTTGCTTATGGAGAAACAAATGCACTAGTTAAACCAGTACATTGTCATACTGCTCTAGTTACAAAAACATCCAGGACTTCCATAGAGCTACAAACGTATTGTACTTCATTGTTTTTCCCCCAAATGATGATATCCATGTGAAGTAAATAAGCAAAGATACTCAAGTTTGTATCCTTCATTCTGTTACACTGACAAACATACACCACCACTTAATAAATAGAAATGCAGCAGTTCATCCACATAATAGCAAATATTTTTGTACCCTAATCCACCACTGAAGTTCAGTTTGTACAAAACAGTCTTTTCTACAGAGTGGAAAAAAAATACCTTCTTCTCATCAAGGTGCAAGCTAAGCTTTGAAACTTAAATGAATGTGCTTTTATTCTTTTATGGACAATAAAAGAGTTTCATGGACCTTCTGATCTATCTGAAAATGCATAAATTTGGTCACATATGGATGTCTTCATTGTTTGGGTTTAATGGACTACCTCAGTATCACTGACGTTGTGCTTTTACTCCTCTTGAACAACACCGTTCCAAGAGTTATGGAGATCAAATTAACTCAAACGATGACCTCAAAGTTCTAGAAACGTAAGTGTCCTCATTGTAATACAAGACCAACCTAAAGGAAGATGAAAAAGGCAGCATTTTAGTTTAATTATAGCAATAAATCTAAATAGCATTATTTTTCTGCATGCCAATTATAGATCTTAAATATGACTGATTAAAAAAGTTATTTTAAAACATTTTGGCCTGTGTAGATTAATGTACCATTTCACCAAAGAGAATTCAGGAGCCCTTTTTTTCTCCCTTACCTTTTCAGATTCCATGCCAGGACACCTCCAGTTGTACAAATAATACTGCAGATTTCCATCTCCAATCCCAAACTTGAGCTTTTCCAGGAATGTTTTGTTTTCCATTAAGTCTAGTGCATTGAATACATCAAATCCTTTCTGGCAATAGCAAAACATTTTTTAAGTTTTACCTTTTAAAGTTTCAAATGGTACATACAGCATGGCACACAATATCCAAGAGACTAGGCTAATTAAGTGGAAAAAAAGACAAGGGAATAAATCTTGCCTTTTAATTAGGTACACACATAAAGAAATCTTCCCAATAAAAAGGAAGGCACAACTTTTCTCAAAGATTACCTCCAAAAAGGCAGGAATTTCAAAGCCACTTTCAGGGGTAAAGGTCTGAAGAGTCCCTAAAGCATTATCCATTATCTTATTCCTATAGATAGGTATTTTTTTACAGTCACATACAGTGTTTTGGCACACATGGGCTACTCCACCTAAAGCTGCATTAATACAGCTTATGGTGTTTTCAGCCATTTCTCATTCTGTTAATGATAAATACTTTATTTCTGTGATTTGGTCCTTTTCTGAAATGCCGTTCTATTTAGAACTCAAATCTTCCACATTACTCTCCCTCATGCACCCTCTACCAAGTCCTCTCTTCTTCAGCCTCCCAAATTCACCACTCAAAGAGCCATTCTGCTCCCAGAACAGTCACACAGCCGATCTACTCACAGGGTTCTGTTCAGCAACACAAACATACTCAAATTCCAGCTTACTGTGAACTCTTAACAAGCAACATAGAAATAAAGTCAGTTAAGCCATCACAGTGACAGTCATCATGTACAAATAGCTGAATTTGCTTGGGGTTCTGGATATAAAACTCCATTTGCTTGCAATTAACTGTGAGGGAGTCTGACCTAAGAACCTGCACTCTTAACAGCACAAAGGCATTGTGCCAGCAGGACATTAGGCACGCATGTGACTGCTTTCATGTATCTTTAAGTCTGAGCAGATATAGCCTTTGCAGACCATCCCTGGCATCATACAGGATCAACACAGAAATCCTGTGCCACATGCAGCACAGACGACTCTGAATGTGGTCTGCTGGACCACAGC